GCCTTATTCATGTCATCACTTTTTGGCAGTACATACATTTGTGTACAATTATTTTCTAGGATGAAACACAGGGAGTACAATTAGATCAAAAATCTCTGACAAACACCTTGGGAACTCACCAAGAGTTCTCAGCAATCCAGACATTGACACATTAATTACAAAAAAACAAGGTCAAATATCCAGCTAGTTTTATGGGTTTGTTGCCTTCTTTGATGTTTTAATAAAAATATATTTTCTAAGTTTTGTTACATGTACATATTCCTCTTCACTTGATGGCCCGGGGAAGCCAAACGGCTGGCCACCATGATCTATTAGGTTTAAATTGGAGTTTTATTTCTTTAGCTCTTCTAAAGGAAATGTTTTCTTTAGCTGTACTTTTATTTCCTCAGAAAATATCTAACCAGGAAGAAAAGTCATTTCTGTCTGTGTTTCACACAGTAATACAGATTAGATCATTGTCTTTTTTTGTGAAAGCCCCAGGAGTCCATGTGTCAAAATAAGCTTCATAAAGCTTAATAACTCACAAAACTCATAAAACATAAAAGTCAATTCAGAGCATTAAAACATCTACAGAATCTCTGAAGTATACTGTAAATATGGAGCTTCCCTTTGTAAAACTGTGAATGTGATTTCCAGCCTTTGGTATCATGATATCAGAAACGTCATGGTCAGGAGAACTAATGATTGTCCCCTTCTACTGATAAGACTACAGTCCAAATACTGTATTTGGCTTTGGAGCTCTGGATACAAAGGACACTGAGTTTCTGTCAAATCTTCAGAGAAGAGCAACAAAGCTGGTGAAAAGAATAGAAAACAAGACAAATGAGGATTGCTGAAGGAACTGGGGCTGTTTAGACTGGAGAAGAGGGGGCTTCAGGGACATCTCACTGTTCTCTTACCTGAAAGGCTAAAGTGAGTTGGATGGTAGTCTCTTTTCTCAGGTAAAAAGCGAAAGGATGCAAAGAAATGGTCTCCAGTGGTACCAGAAAAGGCTGAATTTGGGTGTCAGTAAGAATTTTTTTCATGAAGACAGTTGTCAAGCACTGAAAAAGGCTGACCAGGGACTATGTGGAACCTCCACCCCTCGAGATATTTAAAAGACATGTGAATGCAGCAAAAAGGGACAAAGTTTAGCAATGGGACTGAGTAACTCAGGTTGGTGGCTGAAGTCAAAGTTCTTTCCCACCCTAAATGATTCTAACATTTTCTGAATGACATCAATAGTGGAACCAAAAAGATGACTGTCTAAAGAAACAAGCTGTAAAGAAAGGAATTCAACAAAATACAGGACCTCTTAAAGTCTCCACCAGTCTGGAGTCACCATACTATAACCACCAGCTGGTACCTCAGCTAGCCTTCAGTGCTCATCTGTGTGCTTCCTAAGGTGAACAGAACTACAGGAACAAAACAGAAGGCTTTCAACTTTACCCTTATTGGTGAGAACCAAAAACCAGACACACAGTCATCCTGTGGGCAGGTTCCAAGAGAAACAGGCCAGTACATTTAAACAGAAGGTAGTAGCCAAAAAGAACAGGGTTGTAACCTGTTTTTAAATCCTGTTTTAAAATAATGCTGTTGTTGTAGCCATGACAGTTTAAAGCTATCACAAGGCAAAGTTTGTAATAATATACAGTTTATGTTTTATTAGATCAGTTGATGTAACCTTGAGGCAAAAAATAAAAATAAAAGCCTTCAAATTCTCAGTCTGTCTCTAAGCTTCTTCATCCGAACATTCCATTTTCTCTATTAAGCTTTACTAACTTGTACAAATACTGGTTTCAGCCACTGTTAATACTAGTAAATAAATGACAACTTGGATTAAGAATGCTGCCTGCTTATGACATATGTAACTGCTCAAACATCTTTAAAAATACACGGGTTACTAGAAAAACAAAAACTTGCAAAATCTGACCCTCTGGTATTGTAAAACTGAAGTGATACAGAGTATTCAGAATATTCAGATAGAAGGTAGAGATATGGTTGTCTGTAACTGTGATATATTACTGGTTTGGATATTTATTAAAATGTCTATGTTGAAAACCTACAAGTAGCTTCACAAATTTCCATTCCACAAGTTAATGATAAGAGTAAGAACAATTTCTAGTACTGAACATAAACTGAAGAAAACTTTAATTATATTAGAGAATAAAATGGAATATCAAGTAAATCTTGTGTTGTAGAGAATTGCTTTCTGACTTATTTTTCCTCTTCTATCTGATTGGTATCAGTTAAAACTGCTGCCTTCAAAAAAGCTTGTGTCCAGGTAGATGACAGTGTTATCCAACCAACATAAGCACTGTTCTTACACCCTTTCTCACATCACTTGAATCAACAGCAGGGAACTAACTGACAACTGTTTGCTAAACCCTGTGGTGTCAGCTTCCTTGTCTTCCCCTTTTAAAATACTATTGTTCTAATGCAGCGGAATTTAAATAAAATAAACCCTTAAGCATCTTTTCTAAAGTCAATTCAGCACTTAATCCTATCCAAAGAAAACCTTGGCCAAACTGGTTGTAGAGATTGGCTTGCTTCAGCTTAACAAAACCGAGCCTGGAAGCTTACATACACAATCTTATACATCAGAGGTAATCCTAAGGTAATGCTACTGATGCCAAAGGATAACACTGACTCAATATCAAATGGAGATAAAATAGGACAGATACTTAAAAATTCTTATGAACAATAATTATTGAACTGTGAAACACACTTTGAATACAAGTAGAAGTAAACTCTAGATTCTAACTCAGAGCTTACTAAGTTCATGCAGAGGACTGTAAATGAAATAATTCACGTCATAATGTACAACAGCATAAGACAACTAAAAAAGAGGACAGAATAATCCAGAAGACTGACTTCTAATGTGCATTGGTAAACTATTTCAAGCATGAAAGAAATGCTGTTACCATTCCTATCTTTCCCAAAGCTTAGGCCTCACTATATTATTTAAATCATTATATCATTACTGTAAATCAGAAAGGGATTATTTCTGTTGACCCTCTCTCACCCCTGAGGAAAAAAAGTATCCATAGATTAATAGAAAAGTCCTTCTAAGACCTTTGCTAAAGATGAAACAGGGAGCTGTACTGAGTTAGATTTTGTTATTTGTTAGAGCACTGTAACTAGAGATGTTACGCAATATCAAGCAGCAAAACCAGATTATTAATGTGCTGAATATCCTTTTTCATAGGAGAAGCCATGCTAATATGTTAGACAAGTTTACAATTTCTATTATACTGGCTGTTATACTTTCTGTATGACCAAACAGGGTAGCAAAATAGTCGGGAAGAGAAAAGGCATGACAGTTACTTATTTAGGAACCCAGAAATAGCTGTAAGCATAACATAATGCAGGACTGTTGTGCTTTTACTTAGAGAAAAAGGACTTTCTTTTCTAATGAATGGTCATTGAGTACAGCAGGTTACTAAACAAACTGGATGCAGAACGGGTTTCAGAAAAAATCTACAGCAATAAGACTTCAGGAGCACATGCAGATGTGAGAAGCAGATAGATCAAACAAGGACAGCTAAGCTAAGAGTCTAGGAGCTACCACAAAGACTTGTCAAAAGTTCTGTTCAAAATCTTTGAAATAAGATCTCCATCCAGACACTGAGCAATTGGCCACCACACTGAGTCAGTGACTACCAATAATCCTCTGATTACATTTCTGAAATGATATTATCATTATTTACAAACGCAGAAGAAAAATCTTCAAACAGTTAACATTTGCATTAGCACTGCATCCAACTTCCATACACTTTCACTTTGCTTTATGCATTCTCCTAAACAAGTTGTTAAACTAAAAGAGGACATCATTCCATATGCTTAGTATAGATACTTCCCAGCAGTTACTGGCTTTTATTTATTATTCAGTAAAAGCTGCTTGTGGTCACAACTTACTATTCAAAAGCATTTATTGTAATGCTTTACTAGAGAAAATCATTTACATTGAAAAATTTCACATTTATTACTGAAACAAAATAGGACAGCCTGCAGCTCATAAATGAATAGAACAGCAATTGCCATCATTAGGAAGATGAGTTTTAGTTAAAACTGAACTCTGAGTACTTGTTTCATATTCATTTTGACAAACACAAGTGTTTGTTATGAAACAAGTTATTTTCTTTATCCATTCTATCTGTATTATTCCATAATAAATCTTCAATTAATCACAGAATCACAGAATTGTAGGGGTTGGAAGGGACCTCCAGAGATCATCGAGTCCAACCCCCCAAAAAAACCCCAACAAATCTTATGCACTTAACTTAGCCTAAAGCTTTGTCTCTCTCTAACATCAAGTTGTGGATATAGGAAGATACAATAAAATAGTTAGACCAGGAGTTAATTCAATTAACAAGAGTCAGTCAGCTCTGTGTGATATTTACAATAGGTTCAGCACACACTGCACTCAATAACCTGCAGAAAGAACATCACACTGCTGAGTACCAAGGGAAAAGATGTATTTTCAAGTTAAGGCTTAAGTAGAGTAAGGGAAGAATGTCACTTTAATGAAATTTGCACTGTTGTCTGAAATAGCTTTCTAACTGGAACAAAGACAGTCTTCTGATCAGACTAAACTACTTCAAAATTTCAAAATACGATCCACGTGGATCATACAAGGAACCCAACAAGCCAAAACAGTAATGAAACACAACCTGCAAAATTTTAGACTTCTCAAACACTTACATGCCAAAAAACAAAGTTTTGAAAATTCTGAAAGGGTATTTAACGGTAATCCAGGTTTTCTGAAGTTAGTTTGTAAATCTCTAATATTTATTCACTAAATGGCACTGATTCCATTTTTAATCTCTAAGTCCTTTCTCTTACCTTAACATTTTCACAGTTCAAACAGTTAATTTTTTTTTTTACAGTCTACAGATCACCAAATATTTCAGGAATCTCATGCAAGATGAAGGGCAGAGGAAAAAGCCGAACACAGCTTTACTTCCTTCCCTTCTTCCTACATAACCAGTGCAAGAACAATAAGTGTACGAGTTACTTACAGATGAATTGCCATCATCTTTGCCACTTACCACCGGTTGGCTGCAAAGGTAGCGGCAAAGTTCTCCAATGTACTGGATGACAGTCACATTGTACTTTTTGCAGTCACTCCAGAACTGACTAGCTGAAAACTTCTTTCTTAAGACACACGTTGCGCCTTAATGGATGCAATAGAAAAAGAAATCAGTTTTTTTCTCTAAGTGGCAGCTTATCTAGCTGTGTTTGTATCCACTGGTTTTCTTAAATTCACCAAAGAACATTTTAATTATATTGCAGTGTACAGTACTTAGTCTGTACACACACTTATGTGCTACACACACTACCAAAATACATGCTTCTGAGTTTCTTTTTACCAAAAAAAATAAAAAAATAAAAATAATAAAAAAAAAAACCAAACATTTTTGACCCAAATAACTACATAATCTTTGCCGAAAAACAGCTGGCAAAAGAGGTCCTCCTCTATTACAAGACCTTCCTATGCCCTCAAAATGCAGACCCATAAAGCTACCCAGAAAATAATGTTCATTGATTTAGTTCCTCTAAAAGCAGTGAAGCCAAATTTCTTTAGATGTATGTTTATAATAATTAATTGTACATCAAAAATTAAATAAATCCTACCTAATTCAATACATCCACCAATACCAAGAAGAGATGCTGCACTGTGATAAAGAGGCAGAGTAATATAAATTATGTCTTCTGCAGTAGCACCAAAAGCCCAGAGTCCAGCAGCTCCTTTAAGAACTTGCATGTGACTGATGACTGCAGCCTTTGGAAGACCTGTAATGAAAACAGAATACTCTGCATAAAGCTCACCTTCAAGAGAAGCCATTTCTTTCTTTCAAAGTGATTTCTTTAAAATCATAACTGTATCAGTACTTTGATAGACACCTGTTCAGCTAAATAGACAACTGTAAGAGCCGTATTGTATGTTTGTTTTTCACACGTAACAACACATCAGATGATTGTTAGTTATCAGACGTGTGTTAGTTATTAAATCTGATGTAAATCGATTCAAATAAGAGATCTTGATCAATACACTATCTAATTACACAAAACTAACAAAGGGTCAGCTGTACATATGAACTTCTTTCTACATAAACCAGAATAGTTCTTTTTTAGGCAAGAGAGTCCAACATAATTAAGAAAACTATGCAACCTGCACCAGGTAGATGCAGTAGAGTACACTTATCTAAACATATGTTCATCTAAGTCTAGCAACTTGTTCTAGAACGCTGTGAAGACTATGTAGAATTTAATGCAATGTAGTAAAAGATGCTGAAAGTCTATTCCAATTATGCTCTTCTCAAGGAGATTCTTGATTTTCAGTACAGGATATCTGTGCTGAATTAGACTTATACAAGTGGTCACTGTGAACAAGTACTCTGGTACTTGCTCTTCTGAATGGGGGATGCGATCTTACTCAATATGTGTTCTCTAGTACATGCAAAAATTTCAGACTTAGTCTTCTTGACTAATAAAAAATACAACTATTTAAATTTCAAAAAATGTAGTGGATCTGTGAAAGCTTTATCACTTCTTCTACTGAAGCTACTTTATTTTGAAAACTAACTAGAGCTGTTAAGTGGAAGCATAATCTATGGAGATTCTAGTTAACAGTTATTCCAAAACTCATCACAAAAAAGAAAATGCAGTAAATCCATGATGCCAACCAAAAAGGAATTCCAGTGGAATAGATTGCCCAGGGAGCTTATGGGGTCTCCACCCTCAGAGATCTTCAAAAGCTGCCTCAGGTCTGGTCCTGAGCTGGTGTGTGTCTGTGCTTTAACAGAGGGGTTCAGCCAGATAGGAGGCCCTGGCACCTTAAGCTGTTCTGTGATTTTGAGATTCTATGAAATGCTCTGGAGAGTCTTGAGTTCTTTCTTTCTGCTGCTACGAACAGCTGACTACAGGCTGTGCTAGACAGTACTTACTTTAAAGTATCCTAACAGCCAGTAATTTTATATTAAACACTAGTCTCTTGCATTATCAAAAGTGCTTAAATGTTGACTTACTTTATAGTAAAAGAAGGTATCCCAGACTCCTTAAGCTAAGTAAATCTTATCCTTCTAATTAGTCTTATCCTTCTAATTACAGTGCACAGGAATAAAAAAAATGCAATGTAAACTAATATAATAAACACAGGTATCCCATAACATCCTTCTCTCCAAATTGGGAAAATACGGATCAGATGGATGGACTGTTCAATGGATGAAGAACTGGTTGCAGGATCAAGTTCAGACGTGGGGCCGATGTCTCAATGTCTGAATGGAGATCAGTGACAAGTGGTGTTGCACAGCGGTCAGTGCTGGGACTGATACTTTTTAATATCTTCATCAATGACGTGGACAGGGGAGTCAAGTGCACCCTCAGCACATTTGCTGATGACACCAAGGTGTGGGATGCAGTTCAAGCATCAGAGGGACAGGATGCCATCCACAGGGACCTAGACAGGCTTGAGTATTGGGCCCATGTGAACCTCATGAGGTTCAACAAAACCAAATACAAGGTCTTGCGCTTGGGTTGAGACAACATCCACTACCAATACAACCTAGGAGATGAAAGCATTGAGTGCAGCCCTGCCAAAAAAAGACCTGGGGATACTGGTGGATGGCAAGCTGGACATAAGCCAGCCAATATGCCCTTGCCACCCAAAAAAGCCAACCAAATCCTGGGCTGCATCGAAGGAAGTGTGGCCAACAGGGTAAGGTAGGAAATCCTGCCCCTCACTCTGTGCTGATGAGGCCTTGCCTGGAGTATTGTGTACAGATGGGGAGCCCTTCATACAGGAGAGACATAAATCTGTTGGAACACATCTAGAGAAGGGCCACAAAAATTATCCCAGGGATGGAGCACCTTTCCCACAAGGACAGCCTGAAAGACCTGGGGCTGTCCAACTTGCAGAAGAGAAGGCTCTGAGGTGACCTAGTAACCTTTCAATATCTGAAGGGGAGCTACAGGAAAGAAGGGGACAGACTTTTAGTGGGGTCCAAGGACAAGGTGAAATAGTTTCAAGTTTAAAGAGGAGAGATTTAGTTAAGTTACAAAGAAAAAGTCTTTTACAGTGAGGGTGGTGAGGCACTGAAACAGGTTGCCCAGAGATGTGGTTGATGCCCCATCCCTGGAGACTGTCAAGGCGAAGGTGGATCAAGGCCTGGCAAGCTAATCTGGCTGTGCATGTGCATGTTCTTTGCAAAGGATTTGGACTAGATGACCTTTAAAAGTCTTTTCCAACTCAAAGTATTCTATTCTTCTATGATATGTGTTAGTGTTACTATAGTGTTATTATACAGCTGACATCTGAACATTTTGAGGTTTTTGATTTTTTTATTCCAGACAAACATTTTTACTTTTTAGATCTTCTCCTGGAAGCAGAAACAAATATACTAAATAATTATTTATATGAAGGAAAAAAAACATAACAAAAAAAACCCACCCATAAAATAAATCTTTAATTCCTCCTGCAGCTAAAACTGAATGAGAATGCCAACCTGCTTATTTTAGCAACATCATGCTCCTTTTCAAGTCACTGAACGGTTGTTTGTGGGGGTTTTTTTTGTTGTTTTTTTTGTTTTGTTTTGTTTTGTTTTCAGCCTTAGCTTCTTAGCTGCTAGACAACTGGTATTAAATTTAGCCATCTGTTTCTACACTAAAAGTCTAATAACTTAATCCTATTTTCAGTCAATACATAGAGTTCGACTTAATGAAGAAAAAATGTCTATTTGCTTGTTTTTTAAAGTTCTGGGTACAGTGTTAGGATGTTAACTGTAAAAACAGGGAAAAACATTTTATAAACACCTCAGCAGTTAACTAGGTAGCAAAGCTTCTCTCACGGTATTTGTACAATCTAGCAAATAAAAAAAAGAAAAAGCACATAATGCTTTAAATGTAAGTATTCATCAGTAAGAAGAATGCTTATTTCCCAACAAAATGATACGAAATATGATATTCTATTATAAAAAGGTTAATCAAAAGATGAGAGCGTCAAAAAAAAAAAAAAAAAAAACAAGCTTGTAGATGACAGCTTTAAGAAAATATAATCTCTTTAGCATACTTGTACCTGTTGTTCCTGAAGTAAATATATATAAAACGGAAGATCTGAGGTTACTGGCAGAGCGTCGACTAACTGGAACAGGGTCTTCAGATGCAGCCTCCATTTTGCCTAAAAGGCTATGCACACTTGGAAAAGTGGAATCCTTGGACATTACCCAAACACTGATGTCTTTCGGGAGGTTAGGAAGAATTTCTTCTAAAGTTCCAAGCAAGTCTTAAAATTTAATATAAAATAATGTTAGTTAGATTATGTCTCCAAAAAGTAAATGCAACTAAGATACAATTTCTCTGAAAGTTTTAATTTTTATAACAGGAAATTTTATTCGTCTTCATTGATGTAAATACATAAAATAGTGATGAGGTGGACTGGAAATTGAATGAAAACAGGATCTAAAATAATAAGAGCGCTGCTGACTCCACAGGGTCTAATTGTCATCTAGCTCTTACAGCAAAATGGTGGTCCTTGATTACCAGCTCCTGCTCTCTGCTTACCACTGCATTTTTTACAACTCTTTCTCATTGTTAAGAATAGAAAGTGGCATCATTAAGCTTTGAATAAAAGATGAATAAGTATTAAAGGTGAATGGTAAACATACACACAGCCAACAGTTACAGTGCAGGTTTCCCTGGATGTCCTCAACAGCAATCTCTTGAATAGAGGCTCTTTTTCTCAAAAACACAGATGTGATTCAAATGAGAGGGGGGATGGGAGGAAAGAAAAAAAAAAAAAAAAAAGAAAGAAAAAGATTAAAAGGAAAAAAAAAAAAAGGAAGAAGAAAAAAAAAAGCAAAGTAACATGGTTATGGACACCTGAATTTCAGAGAATAGAAATATGATACGGCCCTGTGGCTTATTCAGACACTTCCAAAAAATGTGTCTATTTCTGTGGTTCTTCGACTTAATCTTCGCCTGAGTCTAATTTTAGGTATCAAACACATTATTTTTTGTAACTACACATTCATTCATTCACAAATAACACTCCTATTAGCTTTTACCTGAGTTTAAATGCAAACTCACTTTTATAAAATAAAATCAGCAGTGCAGATAAAATGTATGTTTTTTGCTTAAGCAGGAAAGAAACTGAGAGTTTCCCAGTTTAGCTCCAGATTAAATAGAAAAAATAGATTAAATAGAAAAAATTTGAACAGAGGCCAATTCCTAATGAATTTAGTATTTATATTTTTAAGCATTTTTCAATCAATTTGAATATCAGAATATCAAACAGATATTAAAGTACTAATCCAGCAAATTTCTTAGGTGTAGGAACAGTCATACTGCTTTCAGTATAACCATTCATATATTTACACTTAAGTGCATTACTGGACCTCAGCCTATATAATCAATCTTGTAAATATTCCCGTGGATATAAACGTATGTTATTATCTCAGGTTTTATAAATGAATAAATGAATAAAGTTGAAATGACTCACCCAGAACCTCATAGCAAAGCACTGCCAGAGCCAGCATTTGAACTCCTTATGCCAACCCCAAGCTCATTTTGCAAATACAAAATACGAGTATCATCAGTAAAACTCTTTTGCATATACTGTACACCATAACTGTGCAAGATATTTAATCATTCAAAAAAAATATTTTCCTCTTGACAGACTATTTTATATGTTTTAGTGAATGACACTTCTATTACCTTAACAGAGATACAGCCTCCCATTCCCATGGGAATGCCTTACATGAATGCCTTATAAACCTGAAGATGACACAGGATGGCTTCTGTATGTTTTGTAAATCTTTAGCAAGTATATCTGATGGGGTTGTGACATAATCATTTTTGCATCCTAACTCCCTTCACTGTGGAGTTATTTCAAGAAGATATCATCCAAATAATAATGAAAATCTGAAAGAGCACTCTATTTGAATAATTTGAGTACAGTCCCCTTTCACTCACTATACGTAGAACACAGTAATGAGAAAGAAAAGTCATTTTAAGCACAGCAGTGTGGACTGAAGGAAATCTTACACAGTGAAAATTCAGGTTCTCTCAACAGTAATTCCCCTTTGCTGTCGCATTATAAAATTAGGGCATATTTTTCTATTCATAAATAAATATTAAAGCACAACAGCAGTATTTCTAATGATTAACAGCTGTTAATAAACCAAGGAGGACTAAATGACTATGTTGCTTCCAAATATACTGGTAGTTGCAGGTACAGGGTTAGATTAAAAGAAATAAAAGTGTATTCGAAGTGGTTGGAGCTCAATTTCTGTTCTCAAAAATAGTCAAAGAGTACAAAATCCGTAACAGTTTATTGACTGTATTGGCATAGGCACCAATTACTGTGCTGGCAGAGATGTTAAGGACAGTTAAGAATTGTTCATTGTTAATATTAAGGATTTCTCAATTTCCACAATTCCTGGTAATCACACATACCAAACTCAGCTGGCCACATTGTATCGTCAGTGTGGTGTACAGATACTAAGCATTCAAAAGAAATTCAAGAAAACAGTATCTCTGTTAATAAGTAATGCAGGTACCAAAGAGGCCATTACTGAATTTCTTCATTTTCCATAGCTAGATTCATTACTTCTTGAGTTATTTCTAATTGCTCTGTCTTCCATGTTTTTGACAATAATAAAAATGAAGGTGTAACACTGGCCTATTGCTGTTCTCTCTGCGGAAGATATTTTTGCTTAGAAGTATATAATAAAAAAGAAAAATTCACAAATATTTCTGATATGTTTTTCTTGTTTTCTTTTGTTTTTTGTTTTTTTGTTTTTTGCTTTTTTTTTTTTTTTTAATTCAGAAATTCCAGATAAGGTGTGCACCTAGTTCTTTAAGTGTTTGAGAAATAAGAACTACAAAAAAGAAAAAAAAAAGGATTTCTCTCTAATTTTTTTTTTCTTTTCCTTTCTTTATTTGAGGAAAGGAAATGGTAATTACTAATATCAACTTCATGTGTATAGTCATTTAATATCAAAGAATAACAGAAGGGAATAACTCCCTTTTAGTAGAGTGAAATATTTTTACTCTAAATAATTAAGATCCAACTTCAGAATAGAAACGCATGCTGTTTCTCAGCTCATACGACGAAGGCCTGTTTCTGTTGTACAAGAACTGGCTATTTTTTTAAACGATTATTGAACATTAGATCTGTGAGTAAATTATACAACAGAACAGCGTTTTTCTTTTTTGTTCAGGAACCGATTACTTGGAGCAATATGTGAACATTTGTAATGATAAACAAAGGGTAATTTAAAATTGCAGTTTTCAAAGTGGCAGAAACATAAAGTTACTTCTGGAACAGGAATGAACAAGGGGTATTGGAAGACAGAACTCTCAGCTGTGCTAAGGCATTTCCAGAGAATAATTCAGATGACAGTCAACTCGTGTTGTTCCATGAACAGAGAATTTACATGCCTGATCTTGCATAGAGCTCACTGGTCCTTACATATCATCTTGTCCTTGTGCCAAAAATAAACAGCCTGCTTAGAGAAACTACTACATTTCAATATTTCTAGAGGTACCTGGCATGTGTAATTAACCACATAGTAAAGAAATGATAGTAAAGCAATTCAGCTATTCATATCTGTGGTTTTCAAGTACTTTTTGGCTCTGTAAACCATGAAATTTTGATCAGGTTTTGGTTTATTTGCTTTAGAAGAAATGACTTTATCTAATGTTTTGCAATATAGACAGCAGCTCTGTGTGCACTGTTTACACAGTTAGTATATGAATATTCACCATTGCTACCTATTCCACTGAAGAAAAAAAAAATTAAAGATATGTCAAAAGGAATGTGCTTCTCCAAATATTTTTTTCCTTTTTTAGCAACTCATTGTTTAACAAAATGCTCATGAAACTGTGTTATGTTAAGTTCACATGCATATATATTAAACATCTTTTGAGGCTCTTTTAAGAAAGAAAGGAAACACACTTTGGTTATAAGCAACTGTCCTAGACTGCAAGATGTACAAAAGGTTTTTTATATTATTTCCTAGGAAAGAAACAATGTGGCCTATTGGCAAACAGACAACAGTCCTACACTGATGAAAGGAATAAATCAGATTATGAGATAGACTTGCACTGAACAAGAAGTTACTCAGTAAGCAAGCTGTATCAAATTGTTCTTACATAAATTTGATGAGCACCCTGACTCAGTAAACTATGGCATGTCCAAACTGTTTCCCACACTGTCTGGCATCAGAAAAATTACTGTTACCTGTACCTGATTGCCAAGTGACTCCTTGTACTCAGCGTCTATTCTCACTAAGTAGTAAAAACAGAAATTTCAAGTCAGTTGCAGATCCAGTGATGGAATCTTGAAGTGCCACTGTAGGCAGAAAACATTCAGTGGGCACAATCTTCCCATCAAAGGATATCTTGGGACAAAGAAAAAGGTTGAAATAAAACAAATGCTCAAAGAGATACAGCGTCAAATAGAACTGTTAAGAGTGTCTTCTGCAGATCTGCTATGCTTTCCTTGTCCTGTATGTTCAGGTCCATATACCTTTGATCACTTATTTCAAAGTTCAGAAAAGACAAATTCTTACAAAATTCTTTTTTTTTTTGTACCCAATGACTTCCACATGAAAGACGACACTGCTATTTTTACATAATAATAATTTAAAAATACATCAAATATTTTCTTTACTCATTTTTGGCAGGATGTAGACACATTTCTGTCTGAACTTTACCTCTATCAGCATAAATCGTGGTTCTGAGCTCAAATAACTGGCAAAAAGAGTTTGATTACTGCACAAAGCACTGCTGATGCCTAAAGAGTAAAGAACTCTGGCCAGGAAAAAGCTGCACTTTGCACAGCTGAGAGATATCGTTCTGAATGGCAGAATCACAGAATGGATGAGATTAGAAGGGACTGACTGTCGGAGGTCATCTTAGTCCAACACAGTCATGGTTTTGCTTAAACACAATCACTTAAGAACAGCTGCCCAAGCACATACACACAGCATGTAGTCTTTGCTGTCAGGGCTGTTGTAACACAATCCTTTCACAGCGAAATCCTTGAATCAGAAGTACTGATGGCAAGCAAGGCTCAGCTGAACTCTTTCCAGTAAGAGCATGCTATAAATGCACTAATGAATTCTGTTTGTATCTTTTGGGTGAGTCACTAGATTATGACTGTTTTTTTATGGTACTGCTTTTACACAGCTGAGATAAAATACGTTTCTTGTTCAAGTAAGACTTCAATTAATAGAAATATTCCCTACAAAGACCACAGTGCCTTAAAAGTTAAAGCGTAACTCAGTATCTTAATTCTGTTTGTACTCATAATATTTAAATAAATAAGGGTGACAGAATCCGGCAATAAATGTAGTCAGAATAAGCACCTTTTAGCAGATCAGATTCCCAGTCAACTGACAATTTGATAGGCAGAAGGCATACAGCTTCCTTTTTCTCCTTCACAAGTTCTTTACCTACCTACCTCTCGGACAATTGCTGCCTTATTTAAAACACAGTTTCAAGCTTCTGACTCTTAAAACAAGTATTCTCCAGAATGTGAGTGGTGATAGAAAGTTTCTGAAGATGGAAGACTGAAAAAGTTAGATAAGAAATAAAAGCAAGAGCTAAAGATCCCAAAGTCATTGAAATGCTTTTGAAAAGACAGCAAATGAAAACAGCTAAAGAAAAATTTGTTCTGAACTACAATGCCAAGTGGAAATACTAGAAAGGAACACAAGGTATATATATTGGCAAAACAGAATCTGCATGTGTCTTACATGCAAGGCAATTCTAAAGGGAATAAACTAAGTTACTAGGTGTTGCAGGCAACAACAAATTATGCTAAATGAACTAAAAGAACACTGCTATTCTGCAAAAAATACCACTTGCTAGAGATACTCATTTCACATAAGAAACCAACAAGAAGGAGACACTTCGCAGCTCTTCTAGCATATGAGAAGAATCAAAGCTTCAGGTATTCTGCAAACTTCCTGCAACTAAATCAAAATGAAACCCCAAAACATCAGTTCTGCTAGAAAACTTGAATCCAAAGTCAGAAATAGCAGAGAGATTATCACAGTATTGTCAGACAAGAACAAGACCTGGCTGCAAATGCTGAAGGAAAGATTATACTAAACCACAGCCTCTGAAAAATTTGCAGACAGAAAAGACAACTTAGGAGTACAAAGTCCACACATTAGAGTGATCTTGCAAGAAGCAACATGAAAGGTATGGAAGAAAATGTAACCATAAATACCACCCAGACTATCTGGAGAGAAAGTTAAAGCATACTGAAAAAAAATGACAAGATATACCAAAAGAAGAAATAAGATGCAATTGCCACACACAGAGATTTGTCAACCAACACAGAGATTTGTCAATAAACAATTGATCTGTGGGTAGTGATGCAGATATCAACAGAAAGTTGGAGGTCCACTGTCACAGAAATGAAATTTAATTGGATTTAAATGCAGATTGAGATTTAAATCCAGATTTAATGTGCCACTAACAAGCACAAATTTCAAGAGAAAATTTGGTCCTGCTGAGCACAGACAGTTAATGACCAAAATGTGACAGGACAATTTCCATCGTGCTGCAGTGTTAACTAGATCAAAGGTAATCCAAAGTACTGAAAATACAGCTTTGTAACTCTTTAAATGGAATTTTTAACACAAGCTGGAACACGAGTGTTTTTAGTGTATGCCTTGTGCAATAGAATATCCAATTTAGTATGCTGAGTTCAGGCTATCTACAGTCCTGTAGAAAAGAGCATCAAAAGAGCAAAGCACACAAGAAAAACTCAGGTCATACCTACTGATAAGGCAGTAACCCTTGAAACACAAATACTGGATGAAAAGACGTTAATACACCTCCGAGAATTTATCTAATCAACTATGCAGATGCATTGTTAAATACTGACCTGCAATTTTTATAAATATTAAGGAGCACAATGTGTGATAACAGTGTATGATCCAACCTTTTGTTTCGAGTGACGTGAATCAGCCCTCACTGCCTCTGAACAGTGTGTTAACCCTAAACTTGAAAACACAGATCTCTTTGCAGAGGCTGCTTCTCCATATGACATGGCCAGCAAACTAAGCAGGGCTTCAGCTTTTTTCACAGAGATGGGCAAAAAGAGCTCCTAAATCCCAAAGAATAATGTAAAATCTTGTACCTCAAGGGTCTGAGGAATTGAACACAGAGACCCACGAATAATGTAAGAATACCATCACATAAAAGACCAACTCAGACAGCAGCTTGTAGGTATAACCTATTTACACATTGCTTTTCTATGAGCTGAGATGGCAGACAAAAAACAATCACAGACAGTGCTCAAGAACTGCCTTAAGATTAAACCAGTTCCTCAGTCTAATGACTTAAAAGCACATATTTAAGAGACTGTGTTAAATGAGTTATTCTTTTAATTAAGTAAGAAGGCAACATTTAAAACTGAGAGACCAGAAACACTCACCATACGCTTTGGGATTATATTTAAGTTTCATTTGTTTAGTTATTAAGTACACCTTTACTCTTAAACCAGCATAGGCATACAATTGGAACTACATAGTAATTTTAAAGTATGTAAGGGAAAAATATTAAATACAACCATGAAAGCAGAAATTTTCAGTAGCATAGAGCAGACAGAAAGAAATTTATACGTTAGGTCTCATGAATGCAAAGCCCTGCAAACTTTGTTAACAGGAACAAGACAAGAAGATGTGAACTAGACATAAGGCATTTGAAATAATTTGAAACATTTGAAATAATGATTTTAGAGAGGCAGAATGAAGCCAACATTTCAAATTTTGAACTATCCTCCTTCACCCAGTGAGTCACAGTTCTGCATGATCCTTTGCTATTGTGGGTTTCACCAAGAGTTGATCAAAAAGGTAGAGGTGCTCAGGAGCCCAATTTTAGGTTATATCTCTCTGGCTTTGATTTATAGATCTCTATAACTGGGTCTTAACTGCAATAATAAAATGCACCGTATATCTACATGAAGTTTTTGAATTATTTTTAAGTACATAATAAAAAAATGTACTGGAAAAACACAAAAGACACTGTTATCACCTAATGAAACACAGTGATCTCTTCTATAATCTTCTACTTACAAGGTAAGTTGGTTATTGTAAATCAACCTTCTACATGCTGCACCTATAAAGTAAAACTCTCAGTTCTAGACTCTGGGAAACAGGCTTAGCTTTGTGAATAGATTTAAAGAAGAATCTGCATAGCTCATAGCTATGGTACAAACTTTCCAGTTTTAGCTACTACAAGAATGGTAGAACAGTTCAGGAAAATAAAATTCATTACTTAATAATGTAACATAAAAATTGACTGTTTCAAACAGTGGGAAACCATTCTCATTAGCTCATTTTAATGTTCTCTGAGACATATTGGGTAATTTTTGAAGTAATTAAACATTTGGAACAAGCTACGTGCAGATGTTGCAAACTTTTCTGCAATGAATACCATCAAGAACAGGTTAAATCCATGCCCCCAGAGCATGGATATACTTCATTTATGTGACTTCAGCTTTATCCCGAAGCCCTGAAGCTAGAAAGCCGCAGATTTCTTTCATTCCATGAACATCTCAAACTTTGGTTTTCAGTGAAGGAGCTGAAAGGGCATACAGTGGAAGAATGTGACACTAAAAGCTTTAGACATATAAATCATCTGAATACTCTACCTGCTCCCACAATCAATATCTTGGGTTCACAGCTAGTGAGACAATGCAGGAGAGACCTGGAGCGGACATTGAAGTTGAGGAAAGCCACCACGCATCCGAGCTTGGCCAGTCCAAACCACACGTGGATGAAATCAGGCTCGTTGCCCATCAGCAGGGCCACCGTGTCACCCTTCTTCAGAGTGCCGTGGTGAAGGAAAACCTGCGCTACCCTGTTACTGCGCCTGTCCACATCCCGGTACGAGAGCACCTTCCCATCATAGATGAGGAATGCTTTGCGGGGCTGCTTCTCAGCCAGCTTCACAAACTTGTCCAGCACGGTGACAACCTTCCCTCTCTGCCTGTAGCTCTCCACTCTCAGCCCATAAAGCAGCACCTTCAGCAAGTATCTCAGATCAGCCCAGAAGTAGGGGAAGAGAAGTTTCTGGATGAGATGCAAGGAGGCAATGCCGGCCGCAACGCCCGGTAACCAGGAGGGAAGAAGCATTGGGAACGGAGAGAGGTCGTCCCAGGAACGCATTTCCTTACAGCACACGGCGCGGCACCCAGCGAGCAGCCTGCCGGGGCGCAGTCTGAGAGGAAACCCAACGGCAAGCACCCGCCTCAGCCTCGGCCGCGCCCGGAGCCGCCGGCCAGCCGCAGCCAGCTCCGCACTTGGCGGAATGCGAGCACCGCGGAGAGAGGCGAGGTCGGGGGGGGCGGTAGCTCAGCACCTTTAGCCTTCCCCTCCCTCCTCGGGACTCCCGGCGGCGCGCCGAGCCGCTGAAGAGGCGGCGGGGGCCGCTCCCTGAGCCGGTTGCATAAGGCGAGCGCCGTCTCACTCCACCCCGCGCTCACATCGCGGCGGCGGGAGGACGAGCAGCTGCTGCGCATGGTGCCGGCAGAGCAAACAGAGCCTTGCCCCAGGCGGGCGTGCCGTGCTGTGCCGTCCCTTCTTGTGGCTGTTCGGTCCTGGGATGTCCTTACGCTTCCACTCTGCCGAGGCGTCCAGCCGGACTTGGGGTACACAGCCTTGACACCGGCACAGCATGGGCCCTGCCATGTCTTCAAGAAGTTTTGAACAGAGGAGACCAGCACCACTACCGCGGTCCCAGAAATGTGCTTGTGACTGTCACACAGAAATGGCAGGCTGGGTCAGGGCTGTGGGTCAGTGTACTATGCCACAGGCTGTTTGGGGTGAAGGCAGCAAAGCTGTGAAGAAGGGTCTGGAGCACAAGTCTTGGGAGCAGCAGCTTGAGGGAACTGGGATTCTTTACTCTGGGAAATAGGAAGTTCAGGGGAGGCTTTATCACTCTGTACAGCTAGCTACCTGAAAGGAGATTATGGCAAGGTGGAGGTTGGACTCTGCTTTCAGATGACAGTGATAGAATGAGAGCTAGTGGCCTTGTGATCTACCAGAAGAAGCTCAGGTTGTATAGTAGGAAAAACTTGTTCTCAGAAAGAGCAGTAAAGTATTGGAACAGGGTGCCCAGGGAGATGGTGGAGTCAGCATCACTGCAGCTGTTCAAGAAATGTGTAGATGTGGTACTGAAGGACATGGTTAGCAGGCTTGGTGGTGACCGGTTGGCAGTTGGACCTTAGAAGTGTTTTCCAACCTTAGTGATTCCACAATTCTTTAAGAAACATCGCTGGCAAGAAGCTGTCAGCACCTGGACACAATGTTGGTACCTCTTCTCTTGTGGTCTGTTAGTGCAGACATACCAGCATGCTGGTATGATGGAACCACACCTCCACTGTGGTTGTACATGGTGAAGCATCAAACTTGATGTCTGTGTACTTCAAAGCAGCTGAATTTACAGTCATACAGGCCATGAAAGGCTGAGGTCATTTTTTGGATGACACATTTTCTGTACTGGAGCTTGCTGCAAACAATTTCAGCATGCCTTGCGCATACTGACAAAAATTCAGAGGTACTTATTTTAAAACTGTATATTACATACAGTTTTTAGCACTGTGTAAATGCACTCCAGAATAATTCCGACTTTAATAAAGTCATAAAACCATAGGTACTGGTTGACAGCATGAATTCTACAGTTTTGTTTTCCACGCCACCTCCAGTTCTGATAACATCACAGGTCTGCCTGTTTGTTCAGTGCACAATCTATCAGTGAAGCTCAAAATTCCATCTCGTAACGGTACTTTTTGATATTCTTTGTCTTGCCCTTAAGAACAAGGCCAGATGAGGTGTGAATGCATAGATATATCTTTGTCATATGCATGCTGTCTGGACAGCTATCAGAAGCAAGTTAAAGCAAATGAAATTGCTCAGAACTAGATTACAAATTGATTTCATGTCTCTGTAATGGCTGTAGCGGTAGTAGGCTGGCAGTCTCATATCAGTAGCAATGTATCTTGCTTGTAAGGTAATAAAAGTTGCAGTAGCTAATACGTAATTGATAGAGATAAATACAGAATGGGCTGTGAATAAGAAAGATGTGTTTTAAATATACTGTGTGTGAACTAAATCAGACAGGCAGGTGAGCAGAAGTCACTAAGGTGACTAACTAATGGCTAGAACATGACCAAATATATTAATCATAAGAATAGAAAGAATTATGGAATCATAGAGTGGCTTGGGTTGGAAGTGCTACTATTCCTAAGGAACTGAAATGATAAGCAAGATTCTAATATAAAGCCAGTGATACTTTTAAATTTGTAGTTTTGAAGGAAAGGTCTGGTTCTGCAGCTTCTCAATTGTACCAATTCCTCTCAACTGTGCATAGAAATCCAATCCACTGTATTCATTATCCAAGTTTCCTTGTAAAGGTAATATTAATTGCCTTTCAGAGGGAAAGGGGAAATTTAAATACTGTATCTGTTGATTTTCAAGAGTTTTATAATTTGTTATAAAATCAAGCAACTGCAGGCAAGAAATTTCAGTAAACAGTTGAAGAGTTACAGAATTTAGGCAAGTAACATTGAAAACGCTTTTGGTCCCTGCCTGTGCCAGAATTCCTGTGTAATATTGGATTAATTTCTTAAACCCTCCACCAGCTGGTGATTTAGCCAAGCTGTATGTGTGATCTTAGACTTTAAGATCCTCTTAGACTCCTGATTCATTGGTAAATCAAACAACTGTAGATTAAGACATTTGGAGCCATGCTTTAAATCAGGCTTATCCAGCCCATATTCCCAAGTGGGCCTGGTCAGACAGTAATGCAGCCCTGCAAGATTGTGAAGATTGTAAAGACTATAAAGATTGCTTTCTGTTTTGATAAAGAAATTTGAGAACAGATTTCAAGGTGGTTTTTTTTTTAATCTTTTTTTTTTCTTGTGTATATTTACAACTACTTTCAGTCAACATAAATGTGCTGCTTGCAGATTTTCAATTGGATTGCATACAGTTGCAGTCAGCCATTTAACCATAAGAAAAAATTGATCATTTCTCTTTACTAGACCTTTCTTTTTTTTTTTTTTTTTTTTTTTTTTT